ACAAAGACAACCCATTCTTAAATGGTATTATAACCAGAGGCATAGAGGTTAGGATTTACAACACATATTTTGGGGGGATATAATTAAATCCATAGCAATTAAGACACTAGTACAAAAGGAGAATTTGACCTAAACAGTGGATTCCAAACCAGGCTGCATAAGAATCACCTTGGGGCCTGTCAAAAAACCAGAGAGATGCTGTACCTTCATCTGAGACCTACTCAATCAGCAGCTTCAGGGGTAGGGCCTGAGCATCTGTATCTGTACCAGATTGCACACCTGCACCTAATACAACAAAGATTTTTGTCTGAATTATTTCTGATGATTACACTTAATACTTCTGATGGTTGGTTTTCCCAACTTTCAGGCTTGTGAACAATAATCTTGTGTATACTCATCATATATATGTTGATACATAATCTGCCTACATAATCTGTAGTATATTGACAGAGAACTTCCAGAAGTGCAGGCTGGATTCAGAAGGACGTGGAACAAAGGATATTATTGCTGATGTCAGATGGCTCTTGGCTCAAAGCAAAGAATACCCAAAAGATGCTTATTTGTGTTTTATTGACTATGATTTTGTGTGGATCATAACAAATTGTGGATAACATTGAGAAGAATGAGAATTCCACAACACTTAATTGTGCTCATGAGGAACCTGTACATAGACCAGGAGGCTGCTATTCGAATGGAACAAGGGGACACTGCATGCTTTAAAATCAAGAAGGGAATGTGTCAGGGTTGTATCCTTTCATCTTTCTTATTCGATCTATATGCTGAGCAAATAATCTGAGAAGCTGGACTATATGAAGAACATGGCATCAAGATTGGAGGAAGAATCATTAACAACCTGCAATACAATGATGACACAACTTTGCTTGATGAAAGTGAGGATGACTTAAAGCACTTACTGATGAAGTTTGAAGAATACAGTCTGCAGTATGGATTACATCTCAATATACAGAAAAAAAAATCCTCACAACTGGACCTATAAGCAGCATCACGATGAATGGAGAAAAGATTGAAATTGTTAAAGACTTCACATTGCTTGGTTCTACAATCGATGCCAGTGGAAGCAGCAGTCAGGACATCAGACAACTTATAGCACTGGGCAAGTCGGCTGCAAGGGACCTCTTTCAAGTGCTGAGGAGCAACGATGTCTCCTTGAAGACTAAGGTGCACCTGACACAAGCCATGGTATTTTCAATTGCCTCATATGCATGTGAGAGCTGGACAATGAATAAAGAAGAATGAAGAAGAATAGACACTTTTGAGATGTGGTACTGGCGAAGAATGCTGAATGTACTGTGGACTGCTAAAAGAACTAACAGATCTGTCCTGGAGGAAGTGCAGCCAGAATGCTCCTTGGAAGTGAGAACGGCCAGACTTCGTCTCACCTATTTTGGTCATATTGTCAGAAGGGGCCATTCCCTGGAGAAGAATGTCATGCTTGGTAAGGTGGACAGTCGACAAAGGAGGAGAAGGCCCTCAACGAGATGGATTGACATAGTGGCTGCAGCGATGCACTCAAGTATAGTGGGGATCAGGGAGCTGGCGTAGGACCGGGTGGTGTTTCCTTCTGCTGTGCATAGGGTCCCTATGATTCGGAGGTGACTCGACAGCATCTAACAACAACAACAACAGCAATCTGCCTCTTTCTGTGCCATCTTTGTAAAACAGCTTTGATATTCATCACCAAGAATCATGATCAGCTTGAGCAGTTTTGCCTATTACTATCACAGTTGTTTCCTGTATGGAATTTTGGACCCTCTATAGCTTTAGGCTCTGAGCCGTCCTGAGCATAAACAGGACTATGCTTAATTCAAGGAGCCCTAGTAGCACAATGGTTAAAGTACTTGGCTGCTAACTGAAAGGTCAATGGCTTGAACCCACCAGCTGCTCTGCAGAAGAAAGACGTATCAATCTGCTTTTGTAAGATTACAGTCTTAGAAACCCTATGGGGCAACTCTACTGTGTACTATAAGGTCACTAAGAATTGAATTGACTCAATGGCAATGGGTTTCATTTTAGTCCTTAATGCAATCTTCCAACTCTCCCCACTAAGGTCAAGTTTTCCCTTCCCGTACCTCTTACCCCCTCTCTCACTGCACTGTACCAGTATGAGAACACAGTTGCCCTCAATGGCCCCGAGCTGAGCCACCCTGCCTGACAATCCATGAAGCAACTCGTCAGTTCCAGGTCTCCTGCAGAGCTATATGGTCCAGGCACTCTGTAGTCCCAGCTCTCTGCAAATGAATTATACATAGCTGGAGTAAACACTCCAGATCTTTCCACTAGGAAGATGGGCTGTATGTATTAAATGGCTCACTGAATTGTTCTTTCATGCCAGAAACAGCTGTACTTCAGGGAGGCTCTGAGACACAGCAGAAAAGAGCACAGCTGCAGCTGTAACCTTGGGGAACTGTGTGTGCGGCGGGGGGATGGACCTGTGGAGGGGTTGTGGTTAAAGTGCAAGCCCTGGATCCATCCAGACTGCCATGCTTCAAGTCCTGGCTCTGCCACTTCTTAGCTGCTGTACTTGGGCAAGTTACTTAACCTGTTTGTACTTCAGTTTCTCCATCCCTTAAAACATTGGTAAGTGATAACAGCACATACTTCATTGGACAAGAGGAAATTGAAATCATTAAATTCTGGATTTCTCTGGCTACTCAAAAGTGCCAATCAGGAATTAAAAAAAGGAGACCCAGCAACACTGGGCTGGACTTTCTGAGAGGCATCCATCACCTGGGGCTGAGCGCTAACTGCTCCTTTTAGAGGGACACATGTTCTTCCATTTCACAGTCTCCACCAACTGCTTCACTCATGAATGATACCTGCCGGGTCCCCTTTACTACCCATGGACTGGATGGACTAAGAACATTTTTCTCCCACAAATTCAGTAACTAAATATGGGTGCAAATACTGGCCATGGCATCATCCATTTAAAAAAGGCCTGGTGGGGGAAGGATCTTATCTCTTGTATGCATACTGGAAGTTCCTATATTTTTCCAGAAACCAAAGAGTTGAGCCTCCTTTTCAGAAATGTTGACTTAAGGAACATAGTTTAAAATTACAGCCCTTGTGTTTTGTAATATATAAACAATATTCAAATAACTGGAAGCCCAGTGCTACAATTCCAGAAAGTGTGACCACATATTCATCAACCAACAAACAACAAAAACTGTTCTCACAGGTCATCTACTAATCTTCATAAGAAAAATAGCTATTTCAGAGAATTTAATGTTTTGACATAATCATGTTTATTTTCAATTAACATTAAATGTGACATAATGAAGTAACAAAATCTCAAAACAAAAAGCCTGTATTTAATAAAACTAAAATTTTTGTCTAAAGTATTTCTGATGACTACACCCTATACTTCAGTACTTCTAACAGTTGCTCAACTTTCCACAATGTCTGTATAAAATAGAGTTTTGAAGCCAATTTTCTAGATTAAAATAAAAAGGCATTCTTTAGCACAAACCTTCATTCCACACCAAATTGGATAAATGAGCAAGATATAATTATTTAAGAAAATTGGGATGCACATTAACTATAAATACTATTTTTACGCTAGCATTTCACCTGTAATTTAATTAAATTGGAGAGTTGAGGGGTGCTTAGAAAACATCAAAAAATAGATATTTTAGAGTTATAAAAATGTTCTAATATGTCAATTGTATTCTGGGGTTATTTTGCAGAGGCAAAAGGAAGACTTGACAAAATATTCCAAATCAGATAAGACAGAAAAATGATAGGAGTAAGATGCTTTCACACTGGTATCTTCCTTTTCCAAGCCTCTGTTGATGTTGACTCATAGAGCGGAACTGCCCCTCAGAGGGTTTCTTAGGCTGCTATTCTCAAGGGGAGTGGCTGGGCGGGTTACAACCGGCAACCTTTCGGTTAGAGCTGAGCACTTAACCATTGCTCACCCAGAGCTTTTCCAATTCTCTGCTCACTTAATATTATGATACCCCAAGTTTTGCTTAAAGAGAAGAGGTAACTATAACATAGGTCTCAGGGAATCTTTATGCCTACTTTCTAGAAGAGAAGAGCCATGGTTCTGATCAGTGGCATAACTAAGGTTGGTGTCATCCAGTGCAGTAACTCTCCATGTCTTACACACCCCAAAGACCTCCTCCCGTATAAGACCACACAGAATCTTTAGTAATGCTTATTACCAAATTTAACCATAGAATATTGTGTGATAAGTATAGTTGTAAATTGCTAAAAATGTAATATTTCATAGATTATATGAATTCTAATAACAAAGTTATTTGTAAAATCTTTCTACATTTAATTATATTATTAATTACAACCTTATGACTGAATGGAAGCTGTTTTTTATATTTCTCTTCTTTTCCTTTAATTACTCCTTCATTCTCAAGAAAGTTCTCGATATAGGTTCACAAATACTAATTATCACAATATTTACCCAACACTCCACAAAATTTATCAAAAAACAGACTAAAAACACCAGCAACAATGAATACATTAGCGCAGTTGGAGCCGGTGCAGACGAAACATGATTGGCAGCATCACTGTAATTGGGTAATCATGACAGCTCTGACAGGAGCTCATTGAAAGGTTCAAAAAGTAAGTCAGCATAGCGTTTTAGCCTGGTAGGTATACTGATACATGTACGCTGGGCTTTTGAAAAATGTTTTTGTTGTTATGACTAATTACAGCGATATTTTTATAAAAAGTAATAGATTTCTGCTGAAACACTACACACAATTTTATGAACAGTCATTTTGGTGTCACCCTCTCTGACTGTGTCATCCGGTGCGGTGGGTACCCCTGAACCCCCTAGAGTTTCCAGTGGTAACCACGGTCGGAACCTCCCCGAGACGGTGCGATCCCGGCGCGCCTGGCAGCAGCTCGGTACCGCGCAGAGTTTGCCCTGCACCTCAGGCAGCAGGGAGGTCGGACAGAGCTTGCGCACTGCCGCCCTCGCAGCCCCAGCCCCCGAGCCCCAGCCTGGGGGCCGCACTCACCCAGGCCGCGCCAGCCCAGCGGGCCGTCGCAGCTGTCCAGGACTGTGCAAAGCTCGCCCAGCAGCCAGGGAGGCAGGTCGAACAGCAGTGTGTGCGCCGAGAGCTCGCCGCGGGCCCCGCGGTTCCCTGCTGCCGCTGCCCAGGCCATAGTTCGGCTGCTGGAGACCAGAGGAAAGGAGGAGGAGAAGGGATGAGAAGCCCAGGCTCTCTCCACGCTTGCGAGGTGCAGTTACACAACCACGGAAATCCTGCTTCCACAACAACGGCCAAGGCAGCAGAACAAGTTGTGCCCAGGCCCTTGAAGGGGCGGACCTACATGACGCGAGGAGCTAGTGACGGCTCTGCTCTGTCGAGGCCCGGCCTTGACGGTGGGGTCTCCCTGTTTGTGGTTATTCTGTCTTCATTGGCTTCATGTTTTGAACAGAGTTGTTCATCCCTTTGGGTTTAGAACTTGACTGAAGAGACAAGGCAAAGAGTGAAGACCAGAATTGCAGACCTGGAGGAAGATCAGAATTGCACAACTAATTCCTGGGTGATGCAAACGGTTAAGTGTTCAACTACTAGCCAAAAAAGTTGATAGTTGGGACTCGGCCAGAGATAACTAGGAAAACAGGCCTGGAGATTTGCTTCTGAAAGGTTACAGCCTCGAAAACCCTAAGGAGCAGTTATATTCTGCACAAAAGGGAACGCCATGACTAAGAACTGACTCAAGGGCAACTAACACCGCCACCACCACCCAGTCTGCCTGCCCTGTATGGACTGTCTTCTGTGTGAATGGATATGAGACTGGCTATTACTTCTTCAAAAAGTATTGTTTTTATTTATTCCTGTCAGAAAAGAGAAACAATTCATTGAGGAAGTCTTGGAAAACAGAAAAATTGAAAGAAGGAAATAATCACTCATAACCCCACTCTGCTGAAGACAAACACTCTAAATGTTTTGCCATATTCCCATCCCAACTTCTACTGATTTTTAACAGATGATATTGTACGTAAATGCCGTGATTACTGGAAAACATGAATATAAGTACCAACAACAGAAAAACACACCAAATACCAAATCAGAGTAAAACTGTATTCATCTTCTTCACAACACCGCCCCTCTTCCATACCGCTATTTTTTTTTTTTTTACTGTTTGTTTCTCCAGTGGCATCACTAGTGGGTTCTGGGGTGCAGATCATATGGAGTGATACTGTCAGAGGGGTTGACACGTCTATGAAATTTTTGTGCTGTGTTTCAGCATAAATTTATTATTTTTGATAAAATTATTCCTTTATTTAGCTATAACAACACAAATAAGCCCAGCTTACACATATTAATGTACCTACCGGGCTAAAACTCTATGCTAATTTATTTTTTGAATCTTCTGTCAGAGCAATTACAATGCTGCCGCCAATCATGTGGTTTCATCTGCACATGCCACAAACACATGCTATTGTTTTCATTACCACTAGTATTTTTAATCTCTGATTTTGTCAAATGTTCTGGTACTTCAGCTACAATAGGAGCTCTGGTGGTGTAGTGCCTAAGGCATCTGACTGCTAACCAGAACCCACCAGCCACTCCTCGGAAGGAAGATTGGGCAATCTACTTCTGTAGAGATACCACCTTGGAAACACAGGAGGGGTTGCTATGAGTTGAATCCAACTCGTCAACAATGAGTTTGGTTTTTGGTTTATTATAACTGTAGGAGCTTTGGTGGTGTAGTGCCTAAGGCATTTGACTGCTAACCAGAAAACTGGTTGTTCAAACCCACCAGCCACTCCTTGGAAGGAAGGTTGGGCAATCTACTTCCGTAGTGATATACTGCCTCGGAAACCCAAGGAAGGGTTGTTGTAAGTCAGATCCGGTTCGATGGCACTGAGTTTTTTTGTTTGTTTGTTAATGTTGTAACTAATAATATAATTCAATATAGAAAGATTTTACAAAACAACTTTGTTATTAGTATTCATATAATCTAAGAAATATTACATTTTAGCAAGTTTCAACTATATTTATCACATATTATTCTATGATTAAAATTGATAATAAACATTCCTAAGGATGCTGTGTGATCTGGTACAGAAGGAGGTTTATGGCAGAGGGTGTGTGTGTGGCACTATGAGTTAACTGTACTGGGTGACATTAACCCTAATGATGCCACTGCGTTTCTCCCTGGGCTTCCTGATAGATCTTTTGACCACTTATTCCTTCTTCAAAGTGCTTCACAGAATCTTCCCGTTGTTTTCAATGTGGAGTTTACATAAAATTGACCAGTTTCTAAATCTTCTAACATTATACTTGTAATATCCCCAAAGCAGGTATGATGCAAATGCTACTGATAAAAAGAGGAAATACTGGGAGACTGTTCAGAAAAATCCAAAACTGAATGAACTGAGGAGTGGACAGTGGCCATCAACTGAAAAAGATCAGCAACTATTTGAACTCTTTACTTTGTGGTTTTTGGCAATGGTACATCCCAAAGGTCAACCGGCAGTCAGTTTGGTTTTTTTAATTGTTGTTGTTCAAATGACTAGGGTCTTATTGTCATTCTATACACACTTAAAGGGATTACCTGAATAAACTGAGCAACAGAGGCAATATATAATTAAGTATAGAGTATCTCTTGAATTGCTAGACTAGGGTTGCAAACTAAATATGGAGAGGAACCAGGAAATCACTGTGAATGAGGGAAGTAGTCAGCAGGGACTGTTTTGCCAGATCTTCTAATTTACCAGGGAGGAAGAATTTTATATAAAATCTCCTCTGTTGGCAGTTGTATCAGACCGTGCTCCGTCCCTGTTCCTTAAACTACCTTTTGAGTTTTGAATGTTATATCATCTGGTTATATCACTTACACTGTTCACTGTTGTCATCCACTGGTCTATTCCATCCCAACTCCTGTTCATTTTAGACTATATAGCTCTTGGCTCACTGGCACTCTCTCCAATACTCAAACCAAAAAACTCACTGTCATGGAGTCGATTCTGACTCATAGTGACCCCCACTGAGTTTCCAAGGCTGTAAATCTTTATGGAAGCAGACTGTTCCATCTTTCTTCTGTGGAGCTGCTGCTGGGTTTGAACCACTGACCTTTTGGTTAGCACCAGAACTCCTTTCTCTAATGCTAATCCTGTCTTAATTCTTTCTTATTTGACATACACATGTAGAATAGGTGATAATCTTCCCAATGCCTTGGCCTCGTATCTCCTTGACTCCTCCTCTTCATTGTATATCAGCCATTCACTCCTGTGATCATCCGCTACAACTTTCATTATCAAGAACTGCATCCCATCCATAATTTCTAATTCACAAATCCATTCTCTGACCACACCTCCTATCCTGCTACCACAATCCCTCTGATACTCTGGCACTGACAATACTTGCCTCTTCTCAGGATCTCTAAATCAAAATTTTGCTACCTTCCCTCTGGTGCCCTCACCTTCCTGATCTCCTAACTCTTCTCCTCACCCTGTTCAAAGTTTACAGTAGATTATCCTAATCACTCACTTGCACACGCTTGCTATTCCCTTGTTCCCCTCTCACTTTGTTGAACTCTCTTAACAAACCTATCATTCTGGTTAAATCCAATTATCCAACTGTTGGCCTTATGCCAATGTAGCTGGAAGGAGGAAAAAAAAGACAATAATAACAAAAACCCAACCCCAAGAATTGACTATAAACTTTAAAAATTAGGCCATGACTCTCAAGCGGGTCCCTTATGCTGCCAAGCAATCATATATTGCCTTCAGTCCATTTATTCTTCTGGTGTCCTTGACAACTATTATATAATTTCTCCTCTCCTCAGCTCCCATAACCTTCTCCCCATTCTCATGCTCATCTGATAACATTGAGAATATTCATTAAGAATACTGATGCATCAGAAAAAGTCTTCCACAGAATCTCACTACACATCACCTACCTACCAGTATCTACATCAACATACACTTTTTCCTCTTTTCCATAGATGAATTATCTAGGCTCCAATCTAAGTCTAGTCCCTTCACCTATGCACTAGATCTTATTCCCAGTCCCCTACTCAAGAATATCAAGGACAGCAGTTCTCTCCTCTCTCTGCTATATCATCTATTTCTCACTCCTTACTGGATCAATTCCATTAGCTAACAAATATGCTGTTATTTGTGCCATCTTAAAACAAAAATATCAATGCCCATGGAAACAGCAGCCAAGAAATCAAGAGACATATTGTATTGGGTAAATCTGCTGCTATATATATATATATATCTTCAAAGTGTTTAAGACAAAGATGTCACTTGAAAGAGTAAGGTGCACTTGACTAGCTTGCCATGGTCTTTTCAATAGCCTCATATGCATGTGAGAGTTGGACAATGAACAAGGAAGACCAAAAATGAATTGATGCACTTGAACTGAGGTGTTGGCAAAGAATATTGAATGTACCCTGGACTACCAGAAGAATGAACAAATCTGTCTTGGAGGAAGTACAGCCAGAATGTTCATTAGACGCAAGAATGGCCAGACATGGTCTCTCATACTTTGCTCTTGTTGTCTGAAGGGATCAGTCCCTGGAGAAGGATATTATACTTGGTAAAATAGAGGTTCAGAAGAAAAGGGGAAGACCTTCAGCAAGATGGATTCACACAGTGACTGCAGCAATGGGCTTAAGCATAGTGACGATTGTGAGCATGGTACCAGACTGGACAAATGTTTCATTCTGTTGTACACTGTAAGTTGGAACCAACTTAATGGCACCTAATAACAACAATAAAACACTTATTTTGATGCTACTTCTTCCTTCTATCTGCCACCCCCTTTTTTTTTCCCCTGTGTAGTGAAGAGTTGAATACTATCATGGTCTCCAATTTTTCTTCTCCTATCTTCTCTTAAACCCACCTAATTAGACTACCCCCTCCTCCACCACTCCTTCACTGACTGCTCTCTTCAAGGTCACTTGTGACTTCCATATCATTGCTAAATAGTAATCACTTCTCAGTCTTCATTTTACTTATCAGCAGCTTTTAACACAACTGATCACCCTTCTTTCTTGAATACTTTTTCCACTTGACTTCCAGGACACTTCATGCTCTTAGATTTTTCTCTCATCTCACTGGTCATTCCTCATTTTCCTCTGCTCATTCCTTCTCTTCTTTCTCACGTCATAAGGTT